TTATTCTTTTTTTTTTTTTTTTTTTTTTTTTTTTTTTTTTTGTACCAGGGATCAAACTCAGGTCCTTGTGCTTGGGATATCTTAATTCTTAATAAATTTTTTTTCTCTTAACATCCCTAAATCCTTTAAACATTCAACTTCTGCTTTAAGTCTTTGCTATCTTGGATGCTGTTACATTTAATTTAGTTGCTTAAAAGGAGACAGCTCCATATCATTAGGTATGGAATGATCTTCAAGGTATAATGCAAAGTTTTTAAAAAGCAAATATATACTATGTAATTTATAAATTTATCAGTATGGGAGTACCTTAAATCTATACATTCCTTGGCCTCTTGTTTCAAAATAACGCTTTATAGCTATATAAAGCCACTGGTTTATATTAACTTCATAGCAAAGTGTATATATAATGGCCTAAATTGTAATCAAATTAATAATTTTTAGCAACATAATTTAGTAACTCATAACAATCAAGGAATCTGACTTTGAGTCTTAATCCTTGACTTCTATGCTGTTACCTTTCACCTTTGTTTGACTTAGTTTTTTAGTTCACAAAGTCCTCTTTAAATAGTTACAGTTTATATACCTTAGAATTCCAACCTCAAACTCTCTGTCTCTCTCTCTCTGCCTCTTTCTCTCTGGTGGGTTGTTTTCTTTTGTTTTATTTTTGAGACAGGGCCTAACACTGGCCTTAAATGCACTGTGTAGCCCAGGCTGACCTGGAATTCACAGAGCTGCTTCTTCAGCCTCCTGAGTACTGGGATTACAGGTGTGCACCACCATTCCTCGCTGGTGGCTGTTATTATTCAGAAGAAGTACCAGAATACAAATGGTTTAAAAAGATATTTCTTCCATAGACAGTATTACTCTGCAGATAGTTGTAGTCTATACAGATGTCTTTGATATAATACTTGCAGTTCAGTCTCAAAGCTACTGAGGGGTTGAAAAGCTCCTTGTGTTTGCCGCATGCTCAGTCTTTTGATAATGTCTCCTTTGAAATCTGTTCAGATTTTAATGCAAGTTAGCATTGAATTCTTGTCACGTGTCGTTATAAATGAGGAGCCCTTTCTCAGTAGCTAAAAGCACCTCTGGTGCTAGAATCAAAACTATTGTAAAACAGCTGCTGCCAGTGGTCTCAGAGTGACATTTAGCCAAGACTGACAGTTACAGTAATTTTTATGTTAATGTGGCAAATTTAAAACAATAATTTTAAAAAATATAACTGAGTTCCTTTATGAACATGGGGCTGATGAGTTTTTAGGTTTGATTTCCATGATACATTTTCTGAAATGTATTATAAGGAAGGAAAGGAAGGGGAAGAGAGGAAAGGGGAGGGAAGGGAAAAGGAATTAGAAAATCCTTCAAGAAAGGAGTACTATACAAAATTAAATCAGCATTGTGCCAGTTGGGATATAAATGGTGTATTGCAAGAAAGAAAATTCAAAAATATTTGAAATTTATTTATAGTATAAAAATTCAATAATAGAAAAATATATAAGTGAAAAATATATGATGTAAAAAATATATGAGAATTGATAAGTTTTGATGATGAGAGTGTATGAGTATTGCTTAATATAGTAACACTCTTCAAATTTCTAATTTTAGGTGATGGAATATGAGAATAGGATTCGAGCCTACTCTACACCAGACAAAATCTTCCGATATTTTGCCACCTTGAAAATAATCAATGAGCCTGGTGAAACAGAAGTGTTTATGACTCCACAAGATTTTGTGCGATCCATAACACCCAATGAAAAACAACCAGAACGTAAGACACTAAAGTGAAAAATAAGACTCTGTTATAGGCCTCTTTGCTTCTTTTCATGTATACCCTAAATTGTATTGGTCTGTGCAGTAATAATATTCACTGTGTCACTTTTGACTGCTGAGCATTGTGCTGGAGCATATGAGTTTATATAAACAGGAGCCTGTGGTCAGGCCAGTGTGGCAAGTGGGGCAGGATTCAGGAGATCATAGCCCTGTGGGTGAAATTCATCACCATAATGAGAGTTCCCAAACATAATGCAGTGTACATATGACTGCTGCAAGGTTAGTTCTTAGTGAAGGAGGTGAAAACAGTAATAGGTAATATGAAGAATGTGGAATTTGTAAAAGAATATTTTGCAAAAGTCCTGTAGCAGTAAAGAGAAGATACATTTAGCTCAATCTGGAAGGCTTTCTAGACAGTATGCCTACATTTGAATAAATCTTGCTTAGAAGAAACAGCCTGAACAAACAAGGTTTATGGACAGAACATAAAAGACCTCAAGTTAAATGTAACAATTTAACAATGTATTTGCAAGGAAAGTGATAGAGTAGAGAGCTCCAAGATTCAAATCTTCTACTGAAACAACCGTTAAGCTGACAAAAACAGACCAGGATCTCCCACCCCAACTCTGCAATCTAATTAGCATACTCTCAAGGCAGTGCTTAATGGGAAAAGAGGCTCCTAAATTTTGGCGATTGGTACTTTTGCCTACTGTGCCCTATTTCCCAGCCATCTGGTCAACAGCCACATTGCTGATGTGGCTCACTGTGTGGGAGGCAGGACTGTGGGGAAAGGAGGTGGGCAGTACTGACCTTGTTCTCAAAATTACGGCTGTACAACCTGACCTGTCTAGCACTAACTAGTGCAAAAGCTTGCCTTTACTTCATCTGTCTAGGGTTTGACATCAGTTACCTACCAAAAACAATTTAAAGACATGTAGTATACTACCTGTAGTCACCCAGGCCAATGGATAGCAGATGGGACAATCATGAGACAGATCAAGAGGCCTGGGAAGGGTGAGCGTGAGGAGAAGGACATTTGAAGGAATTTGTATTTTTAAGAGCACAAATCCACTTTATTTATTTTTATTAGTTTAAATCCTTGAGGAATACAACATTATGCAGGTTATGCATCCGGTGACCTTAGCAGGAAGGTTGCTTTGGGATTTGAACCACAGTATTATTTCTTTTTCTTTTTCTTTTCCTGGTATTTGGGATCAAACTTGGGACCTTGCGCTTGTAAGGCAGGCAGCAGAACCACTGAGCTAAATCCCTGGCCACAATATTGTTTCTATACACATGAGTTATCTTTCCCCATTTTACTCTGGTTTCATTTGGTTTATTACCAGGAAATCATTATGTTATTTTCTCTTGAGCAAGTAGAATTCAGTTCCATCTCTGACATAAGTACCTTCAGTTTTGAGAAGAGATGTGTGTTCCCTTTGGTTCCAGAGAGCTTGCTTATAACCAGAAAAAATGGCCTGTTCCTCTCCTTCCAGGCACATTTGTGTTTTCAAGATCCTGTTCCCAGCAGGATTCTACAGGATGTGAGGTGGTAGAAAAGCAGGATAGAACTATGAAGGGTTATCGTACGAACTAAGGAATCTGGAGTGCAGTGTGCATACTCTGAACCACATATTTGGTAAAGACTTGCAAGTTAAGGCAGAGATATAGATGGCCTGACTAAACATTGAGCCTGAGCTCAGGGCCAATCTACAAACACTGAGTGAAGTTTTGTTTCATTTTCCATTCTTTTTGGCTCCAGCATGTAAGGAAATCTCTATCAGTTGACTTGCTGACTACTTAGGTAACAAAACAACAGTGCAGATGACACACAGCAAGGAATACAATCGTTTGGAAAAGTCACTAAGCCAGGCACAGTGGCACATGTCTGTGATACCAGCTACTAGGAAGGTTGAGGCAGAAGGATCACAAGTTTGAAGACAGCCTGGGCAACTTAGGGAGACTCCGTTTTTAAATAAATCTTTTAAAAAGAGCTCAGTGATAGAGCACTTGTCTAGCAGTGCAAGGCCCTGGGTTTCATTCCCAGTACCAACAAATCAAAACAAAACAAATAATGACTACAATCTTTGAAAAGCAGCAACACCAAACCCTAGAGAGTAGGTTGATATTCAGAATGTCAGTTTTTAATAAAATACACAGTGTAATATTCAGAATATCCAACCTATAATAAGACGATAAACAGCATGTCAACAAGCAAGAACATTTAACCATTAACAGAATGGGAGCCAAAAAAAATGATAGAAACCATCCCTGAGGGTAGGATGCCGTGTAGTATAGTACTGCACACATAATAAAGAATACCAGAAGAAAAAATTACAGTATTTCCAGGTAAACAGAAGCTTAGGTAGTTTGTTCTTCATTGAACATGACTTGCATGAAAAGCTAAAGAGAGTGCTTTAATTTGAAGTAAAAAGATACTGAACAGTAACTTGAAGTTACATAAAGAAATATAAACTATTAAACACGAGTGACAGTAACTTCATTAGTAAATATAAGAGCCATTACAGGATAAGGATTCTTTTGTGTGTGTGTGTGCTTTTCTTAATCTAAAATCTGTAATCCAAAATGCTCCAAATCAAATCCTTTTTTGAGTGCCAACTCATCATAAATGGAAAATTCTACAATTGACCTGTGTCTCATAATCAGAATGTAGATGCACCAAAAATATTGTATGAAATTACCTTCAGACTGTGTGTACGAGGTGTATATAAAAAATAAGTGAATTTGATGCATGTGATGTGCATGTTGTCCATCTTCTCACTGTGTTGAATGATGAATTCTGATACACAAACTATGATTTCTCAGGCAGTCCAAGGGGAATTGAGCCCACTTGTCCACCATGGTAATCAGCTCAGTGAAATATCCTTTAGTTAGCTTCCCTCATCCCATGTCACTTTCCTCAGTCCTTCCACGCTGATCCCTTGCTTTTCAAGAAGTCTAAATTAAGCCGGGGTGGTGGCACATGCCTGTAATCCCAGCACTCAGGAGGCTGAGGCAGGAGGATTGAAAAGTCAGAGTTCGAAGCCAGCCTGGACTACATAGTGAGTTCAGGGCCATCCTGAACTACAAAGGGAGACCCTGCCTCAAAAAATCAAAAAGAAAAAAAAAAGTCTAAACTAAGGCAATGTGTGTTTATGAGAGAACATAGGTCTTTGTAGAATTTCCTGCATTCTAGATTTTTATGGGTTGCATCCCTGTGTGTTAACATGTTTTTCTATCCTTTGTATTTCACACATGTAGAAAGAATTTTATAAACCATCAGAAGGGAAGCAGCCGAAATGATAACTCTGAATGTTGAAATGAGAATATTTTAGTCTTCCTTGTATGTTCCTTTATTTTCTAATAGATATTGTATATATCCATTCACTATGTATTATGGGTTCAGGAATGCAGTGATTAATTTTTGCTGTCACCAACTAACCCAGCTCTTAAATGAGTTATACCAATTAATTGCATTGAGTTATAGATTTAGATCCCTTTAAGTTCATTTCAGCACCTTGTTTTGTGAGATGTGGGAAAAACTAAAGAAGGCTTGACATTCCAATGATAAATGCAACTGTATTGTTTGCTTTAAATGAACCAGTAAACTTAATGGAAAAGAAAAGAAACCTTGATGTAGAAAAAAGATTGCAGAATATCTTCCTGGTTTTTATGACCATAAAATATTTTTATTCCTATCAAAATAAACTAGTCCAGATACAATCTCATTTGTATCAGTACCTTGAAAGTAGGATGTTTTTTGCTCCCAGTGTGACAAAGAAAATGAAGCAAGAGGAGCTGAGCATGGTAGCGCATGCTGGTAATCCCAGCACTTGGGGGGCTGAGGCAGGCGGATTGCTGCAAGTTTTGAGGCCAGCCTGAGCTACATAGTGAGTTTAGGGCCAGCCTGAACTACAAAGCAAAACACTCTGTCAAAAAATAAAAAACAAAAGAAAAAAGACTTTAAACAGACCACTAAAGGGTATTTTGCTATTTAAAGGATATTATTTTTGTCTCATTGGAAATCATTATATATATTCTAATTTCTTCTATATATTCTGTCATTTAACTTTGTAATGTTTTGTTTTGTAATTTTCATTTGTGGTGTGCTAAACCACTAAACTTTTATCTCTCTCTTTTTACATTTTATTTTGAGAGACAGGGTTTTGCTAAATTGCTTAGGTTACCCTCAGACTTGCAATCCTCCTGCCTTAGCCTCCTCGGCAGTTGAGATTACAGGCATATGTCACTGTACTGGCTCCTGCCCCCATTCTTTAATTATTGAAAGACCTGTTACATAAACAGAATAGTTATTAAATGCCTAATATGCCAAGTACATTCCTGGTTTTCATAAAGAAGTCAAAATAATGAATAATTTTCTTCTAAGATGATAGCTATGAGGGGAAATTCTAATATATTAAAATGAGATTCAATGAGATTTTGGCTTCGTTTTCATTTACTCATGAGCAAAAATTTCCACAAATGTTGATACAGCAGAAGTGAAGTATATATTACTCCTGTATGAGTTGAAGAAGAGCTTTGCTGTAGATTTTTTATAGTTTGAATTTGTCATCATCAGATGCCTGGACTATAGCCAGTAGCTCATATTTCAACTTTGTTTTGTCATGACTTCACACATACTGTATCCCAGGATACCCAACAGTTCTTAATTTGAAAGTTATAGTTTTAGAACCTTTCAAAAATAATCATGAAGCACAGATTACATGAAGCCCTAAAATTAAGCAGTTTTAAAATGAGTAGATAGCTGATGAGTTTTGAGTTAAAAGTTGACTAGGAATACTGCTGTACTGCCATAGCTAAGGAGGAAGCCTTTTAAAAGGTAAAAAATGTTTGTGAGTGTGTGACTTGAGCAGGTCTTATCTCCCTTTCTGTAAAATGTGTGTATCATTGCCATCCCTGGGTATTGTGAATCAGGCAGTTGCTTCAGTGTGGACTTTGAGTGACTGTCGCTGTTACACTAACCAGTTCTGCATAGCC